GCTGCCAGGACCAGTACACGTCCTCCCTGTGCTTGTGACCTCGGCGTCTGGGGCAGGAAGGGGTGGCCCATGTAGTACTCCCAGCTCCCTGAGGCCTCTCCCTTCACCCTCAAACACGAGGGCCACTGACCACACCAGCGTCCACCCAATGTTGCAGAGCATGGGGAGGTCACTGTGCAGCATGTCCCCTGCCAGTCTCCTACCTTTGTCCATGTGCTGCAGGTGTGGCCGCTAATTCCCCCACAGCAGGAAGGTGGCAGCCCCAGACTCCAGGTCAGGAGAGGCCACAGGCAAGGTGACTCTGGGGAGGCACCATTCCAGCTCCCAGGCAGAGCTGTGGCTGGGCTGGCCCTGGCCTCCTTGGACTGCCCTTCCCCCAGACAGGAAGGGGTCACCAGGTTGGGCTTCCTTCAGGCCACTGTGGGAAGGGCAGTCCAGGGAGGGCTGGCACAGCCCACACTCAAGCTCAGCCAGTACGGGTGTTCATGGGCCCCAGGCTGGGCTCTTGGGAGCCACTGGACACACCCTGCAGATCCCTGGCTGCTCTTCCCACCCTGTGCAGTGGTGAGGACAGACCCGACTGCTCCTGACTATGGGGCTTGCCGGCTGGAGCTTGCAACTGTGGGAGGGAGGACAGACAGACGCTGGGCCCCGTCTCCTGGACAGGCCTGGCTCAGCATGAAGCCCCACCCCCGTGGCTCCTTACCTTGCACCCCAGCTGAGCCCTGGGGCATGACAGGAGGGGCCGCAGGAGCCCAGGGGAGTCAGTAGGGGTGAAGGGCATTGAGGGTCTGATGGCCCAGAAAGTAGAGGCTGGCTCTTCCCAGGGAGCCCATGTCAGATAGGTACAGGGGACACGGCCTCTCTTCCTTCTTTCCTTGCTTCTGAGGCCAGGACATTGTCACATTGACTGCTGAAGCCACTGATTCCCAGCAAATGCTACAAACAGATGGGGGATGGTTTGAGGGGTACGGGGCCTTGCCACTGAGGCCCTTGAAGCGCCAAGACAGGAGCTTCTCTTTCTGAGGAGGGTGATGGCTGAGGGCATGGCTGCCAGGTCCTTGAAGGCAGCAGGTGATAGCCATGTGGAAAATATGGGGTTCCCGTGGGAGACGACCTGGTTCTATGAGGTCTCTGGGACCTGCAATGATGACCAACCCCAATTCTCCCACCCTTGAACCTGGGACCCTCCCTTTCAAGGTGGCAACACTTTCAGAGAACAGAATCTAAGAGAGAGGCCGGCTGGGACTGCAGCCTCCATCCCACTGGGGAGTGACTTCGCCTGGACATCAGATAAGAGAATGCAGAGGCTTATTTTTGTGGACTTTCCAGTCAAGGAAGGGCAAACTGTCCTTAGAAAACAGCGCTGAGCCTTTGAAATATGCAGATTGCTGAACTGAATCGTTAATGCAATCACCAGGGCATAGGCCTGGTCTTCCCGCTGCGTGATTGCCCCAACACGTCTGCCTCCACGGAACCGTGAGGCCACTGCCATCCCCCAGGGGAGCAGGTGAGGATGAGCACGAGGGGTGAAGCCTGTTCTGACCTCAGGTCTGCACAAGCTTCCCTCTGGGAAAGGACTGGCCGATCCAACTCCTCTGCGGTCAGACAGGGTCAGAGCCAGCCCAGCAGGTGGAGAGAAGTGAAGCCAAACCCAACGGCTCCTGGTGTGTGGGTAAGTGACATGGCCAAGGCCGCCCGTGGGGTAGGGGGAGTGCTGTCCTGACCTGCGCCTGCAGAGGGGCTCTGAGGAGGCCTACCATTCTTATAGGGGCTGCGCAGCTTGGGGTGCAAGACCAGCCACCCCCATGGGGCAGCCCAGCCAAGTGGCCAGGACTGAAACTAAACCGCCAAAAAGGTACAGCCCTGTCTGGCCACAGCTCTGGCTGGGTGGGCAATGAGCCATGTGTGGGTCAGCACGAAGATGGGGAGAAGTCCCAGGATCCCACATGCAAAGGGCCACAACCAGCAGAGAGTCACTCCAGAGTGGATGTCCACAGACTGGGGAGTGTACTCCCAACCAAGAGGTGTCGTTGGGCATCTCTAAGCAGCAGCTCAGAAGCCCCCTGGAGAAGTGGGGTGGGGTGGGTGAGCCAGGACAGGTGCACCAGGAGACCAGCAGGGACAGCAGCCTCAGGTCCTAGACCCCACTGAGCCCTCCCGCAGGGCTCCCTACAAGCCCACACCACCCTGAGACTTAGTCCTATGCCCACGCATGGGAGCAGGGGAGGCCATGACCCCCCTCAGGATTTGGGGCAGAAAATGGGCCCGGCACTCTGCACCGTTGCCTTGTGTGCTTGAAAAGTCCACCTGGACACCTGACATCTTTAAGGAGAAGCCTCAGGTGGTGCTGTCCTTGCCAGCTCTCTTGGGGTCTGCCCTCAAGGGAAGGCAGAGCCCTGGGCTCCAGCCTCCGGCCGGAGGTCCAAGCTTGAGGCCCTATAGGGCTCAAGTTCCTGCTTCTACTACACAGTGATGGGCATGGTGGGGAATGGCAGCCATCTTTACAATAAATGAATTTTGAAGGCAAAACAATGAATGTTCAGAGAAAAGCCCGCTCATTCAACAAGCATTTGTGAGCACTGGCAGAGGCGGGTGCTGTGGCCGAGAGTGAAGCAGATGAGGGTGCTCCCCAGGAACCAAGCCTGCACAACCCTGCGAGCTCAGCTGCTCCCGGAAGACAGGCCAGAGCCCTGGCTCTCACCCAGCCCAGACACCCAGCCCTGGCCACTGCTGGGCCTCCCGCTGCCAGTGTCACCCTTGAACAAGCACAGGACACCTCTGGGAGTAGCAGTGCTGACCTCCAATAACGGGCCTACTATCCACAAGACTTGGTTCTTTCACCCCTGGTCCTGAGTCGCGGGCTGAGAGCGCGCACAGGTGACCAGGCCTTGGAAATAACTCTCTAGAAACCCTCCCAGAGGGCCTGGCCTTGCCACAACCCCTGCTCCCAGCCTGGGAGCCCCCACAGCAGAATCCTCACCCAGGCCTGAGCGCCTGTGGCCACTCTCTTAGGGAAACAGGAAGACCTAGACTTCCTCCTCTTCCCTCTGAGAGCTGAGAGGCCGCGAGCAGAGCAGGTGGGCTGAGCAGAGAGCCCTCCGTGTCCCAGAGCTGCAGTCTACCCACTGCCTCCCCAGCACGGGTCACCAGGCAGGTCAGGAAGTAGGGAAGCTCCCCTGGGCTGCTTCAGATCTGGGAGGCCTTCCAGGAAGCAGTCAAGGCCCAGAGACACAAGAGGAAATCAATTCTGTCTTGGATTCCTCCCCGTCCTCTGTAAACTCAGCTGGATCAGCATCAGGCAGAAACTCCAGGAATTAATCTCACATTTCTTGGAGTTAAACTAGCACCCACAGCAGAAATAGGCGGCCAGCCTCAGGGGTCCCTATGGCGACCCTCTGCCTCCCCCAGTATTGCTTCCAAGGGCTGTCCAAGTCATCACCCCCTTGGGACCCAAGCCGGCATGTTAGAGGGGCCTCGTGCTTTCCAGGAGCAAGTGTTGAGAGCTCTGGCACGGGCGCTGTGCAGGGCACATGGTCTTCAGAGCGGAAGTGAGGTGCTCACCAAATAGGGCAGGGGAGGGGGCTGTGGGTGGGGAAAGGGAAGGAACAGAGGAGGAGGATATGGGGGAGAGGAGGGACCGAGGGGGGAGGGACAGACAGGGAGACAGACAAAAGAGAGAAAAGGGAACACAAAGTGAAACCAGGGGTGCAGAGCAGGAGAGCGAGGAGCCAAGGGAGGAGGAGGATGTGTGGAGAGGAAAGAGGAGAGCAAAGGAAAGGGAAAGAGGGAAGTTGAGGACAGGAAGCAATTTGGTAAGGGGAGGAAAGATTTTTTTCAAAGAAAGGAGGAGAAAAGGGAACAGGGAGGAGCAGAGGAGAGAAGGGAGCACGGGGCTCCCAGGAGGCCCTTGAGGTCGGCCCGGCAAGAAGCTTCAGGCTGTGCTCCCCTCGCAGGCAGCTGCTGGGCTCCCTCAGGGCCCTCAGGCTGTTACACAAGACCTGGCCGCCAGTGTCTTTATGTAACCCTTGGCGCCGCCCATAAAGCTGACCATAACACCCACATGCAGTGGCTTGGAGAGCATGGCCAGCAGCGAGTCACACACAGGGCCAGTGGAGCTGAACTAAACTTTTCTCCCCTTCTGAGGCCAGGCTGGGAGGGGAAAAGTGTGGAGCACTCAGAATCCCCTGGAGGAGGCTGCGTGCTCCGGGGAAGCCTGGAGGCCCTGTGTCCTCTCTCAAGCTATCCCCAGCCCTCCACAGCAGGGCCCTCCTGGAGGAAACCCAAGACGACCCCACCAAGGGCCACTTGCCTGGACCTCCAGCCACCCCCTTCCGAAGGAGGCTTGCAGGGGCACCAGGGCAACCCAGAAGAGTGGAAGGTCCTTTCACCCAGAGGAAGTGGCCAGGTTCTTCCCTGTGTTGCACAGAATAGAGAGGGCCAGAGCTGCTGCCTTCTGCCCTGCGGCATCCAAAGGGCACATGTGTCCAGTGAGGCCAGGACCCAGTCTAGAGCTCCACGCTTGTCCCCACAACAAACTCCCTGGAGGAGCCCCAGGATGGAGGCGTCCAGGCCACAGTGGCCACTGGCACACCCCCACAGGGCAGCTCCCCTCCTGCCTACGCTTCTTCAAGGAGGCTGAGCTCCGCACCCATGGTGCGCCAGCCTGTGCACTCCTAAGGCAGGCCTAGTACCTCTCTAGAAGCTTCTCAAGTTCTCTCTGGACAAAAGCTGGAGCCACTGCCATAGGGCTGGGTGGTTGTCTGGTGCTCACCAGCCAGATGAGCCCTCATCCAGGCAAATAGCCTCTGCCGCATGAGACCTCCTCCTTCCTGTCTGCCTCCCAGCCACTCCCTCCCCAGGAACAGGGCTTGAATCCTGCCCCTTGACACCAGGTCCCTGGAGCCAGCATGGGTTCCAGCAGTTGGCACTGCTGAGGGGTCCTGCACGCGGCAGCACCCCTGTCCACTTGAGTCCCTGCGGGACGCTGGCTTACTCACCATTCAGCTGGTTGTAGACCACCTCCTCCAGGTGGTCCAGGCGCTGCAGGATAGCTTCGCGGTCTGCCAGCGTGCCCACCTTGGCCAGCCGGCTGTGCCCCCGGGGGTCAGCACCACGCACCAGCTGCACCAGCCCCTCGGAGCGTCCCTGCAGGCGGCAGCACACGGAGAAGAGGATGATGCCCACGAACACCAAGATGTTGACCGTCAGCAAAGTTTTGATCTTCCTGGCCACCGCCATGAACGCAGCGAGCGGCAGGCGGCTGCCTCACCCGCAGGGCATCCCCGTGGGCCCCGGGGCCGCAGGAGCCTCTGCCTGCCCGCCGCCGCGGACCATGGGCCAGCCC